TAAGTTATTGTTAATTATCTATTTGTTTAATGTAAGTGGCTATTGTGGTACTGTGCGAAAGACCTCGTCGGTACTGGATATAACAGGCGTAGTGTTACTAACATACTACTACACACTCTTCTTTACGTTCATCGGAATTTCTTATTAATAATTAATAATGTAGTCTTCTCTCATTACACTGTGTTCGTTTGACCTACTCGGAATCAAGAACACTAGATTAGTGGTTCGTCAGTTATCGCAAATAATGAATATGTTAATTCTAGAAAATTATAATTAATATTTAGTGTTAACATAAATAAGTAATATCCAATCAAAAACGCTTAAATGAAAGAATAACAGTATTCTGCTTTAGGTAACAACTCATAAACACAGCGAAATTTGGTATCAAGGCCTAATTAACTTTCATTGGGCCCTTCTGTACATAATCAACTTCTTCATTTAATGACCTACTACCCCCCTTGTCTAATTCTAAACATTGGCCTGACTTTAAGCTGGAACTTTTGACATAATATAAAAACAAGTTCTTTTGACGTATACATAGTGATTACGTTATTATTTATTACGCCATTAACAAGACGATATTCAACATTACACAATATGCACAACGGAAAAACAGAGCAAACAACGTGCAACTATAACAATAACAAAATAAAAAAAATCAGCATCTAAATTAATAATACTTATTGCAAAAAAGCACTTTTAAACGACACATTAAGTAACAGATCAACGAGACACACCCACTAGGAATACGCTGCCTAGCAACAAGAACTGAGTACGGGTAAACTAGAATGGTACAAATCTCACTGAAATATCGTTTCAAATTTTTCAGTTATTATAAATAACCTTTCAACTCTTTCATTGTTATTGTAAGCGCTCTTTTGCAGTTTTGGTACAGGCGTTTTTTTTTTTAAATTTCGGTTTCTGTTGGGTAATCCCCTAAGAAGGGAGGGGCAACATTATTTCTTATGTGTAGACCTATACATTTTGTATATTGTTGCGTCAGCGAGATCACGTGACTAGTATCACGCCACCCGTTTTCTAGAACTATCCTGTTCCTTCGGGAGTGCTCTAGCATTTGCTAGATTGAGGGTTGTCTGGTATATATAAGATGGTCACGGCGTGACGTGACAATGTATGTAGGTAGTGAGTAATTGAACTGCACTCAGAAAGTATTGTTGAAGTTAACGTTCGTTGTTATAGCGTTTGTTATAGAGCGACTGTTGAAAATAAGTGTATCGGTAAAGTTACATGCAGAAAGAATAAACCAGTTTCATTAAGAAAGGACTTGTGTCGCTAAAGTTTCGTGGGAACGAAGTTACGGAAAATCAACTAATGAACGGAGACGTAACAATATTATACTCATATTTGAAAACGTGTGTTTATAATTATAAATGAGGAACACACGTTTTCAAATGCAGTTGTCATAGATATTTTAAAAAGAGTTCCTTTTAATTGCAAGTTTGCGTTTGATCAGGCAGTCGCTGCTTTAATAATATGCGTGTTTTCCTATAGAAAAGCCACATTGGGCTATCTGCTATGTCCACCTAGGGGTATCGAACCCCTGATTTTAGCGTTGTAAGTCCAAAGATTTACAGTTTTGATAAACAACGATTCTTCTTCTTTTTACATAATAATACACGCTACTTTATACATACATATCGTTTAATAAATTATAGCCATATACTGTTACGACAGCGGAAGTCGCATGACGCTGGGAGCATGCGCGCTGGAGTTTCTAGAATTATCGGGGAACCCCGCGAATGTCCGACTGTTTGATAGACGCCCTCTTTTTTAGTATTGTTACGTATCTGGTCGTTTGTTAATTTCCGGTATAAATTCTCCTTAAATAAAACTAGTTTATTCTTTCTCAGTACAACTTTGCAATACACAGAATTTCCACAGTCATTTTGACTTAAGCACACGCTATAATTCACGCACTTTACTTATGGTCACTACCGCTCACTTGACTCAATTATCTGTCTCTATATCTCTCTTCAATCTGCTATTATATATGCCGTCATTCCTCCTCTCCGCTTTATAAGCCTGGCAAAGAAAGCCAGCGAGATAGGCAGATCAGAAGAGATTTATAATTGAGTCAAGTGAACAGTAGGCACCATAAGTAAAGTGTTTGAATCACTATGATTTATAGCGTGTTATAAAGGTTGTTAAGTTTAAAGTGACTGTGGAAATTCTGTGTATTACAAAAAAGTTGTATCGACAAATAATAAACTAGTTTTAATCAAGAAAGGATCATTTATCGCTGAAGTTTCTCGGAAAGAATTTCTACCGGAAATCATAGAACAAGCATAAACATAACAATACGTTTGTGGGGCCTCGGTCTCCAATACCTGCGTTAACCGTTTTTCACATTACATCATTTTATTTATGTGCTGTAAATCTGAACTTACATTCAGTTTAACTACTGCACTTGATGTCTTTACATTTCGGAGTTCCTTCCTCCTTGGCGACAAATAATGGCGAAATACAGGTTATTTGTAAAACCATTTTTAAAGCACATCTCACATTTTTGACAATCAAATTTGCAAAAGTGCGTCTACTTAACTTTTTACTTTATAGTCATACCGTTAAAAAAATAAAGAAGAATATTTGTACTAGTTTTATTTATGGACAAAAATTAGAAGTATTAGCAATTTTTAATTATATTTTTGAAAACTTCTTGTGGCTCTAAAATCAAACGCAAGCAAAGTTGGGGAATCAAATGTTGTATACCTGTTCTGGATGTGCAAAATGTTTACTACTGTTGCGTATCTGCTTGTTTGTTAAGTTCCGGCGGAAATTCTTTCCGAGTAACTTCAGCGATACAAGTCCTTTCTTTATTAAACCAGTTTATTTTTCCTCGATACAAACTTTGTAATACACAGAATTTCCACAGGCAATACATTTAATACACGCTATAAATCACAGCGATTCACAAGCTCATGCGACTACTGCAAAACACACAATTTACGGCTCACCGTCACTACTGGTCGGTTGACTCAATTATCTATCTCCAGCTGGCTTTCTTTGTCAGGCTTATATACTAAAAAAAGTGGGCATCTAGATCACACTCGAGCTGCCAGGCAAATTCGTGATCATTCGAGAAACTCCAGCGTCACGTGACTTCTGCTGTCCTAACACTACTTTTAATTCTGGAGAAGAGTAATAAGCATGCAAATTTTATGAATGAGCAAACTATGAAAACAGGAAATAGAGCAGTAGTTTTGGTTCTCATTTTCCTTTATTTTGGCTACAAATCTACCATTTTGTTTCAGTGGAACATTAGGCAGAGTAGACATGGGTTTGGGAACGTTAATAGACTGTTGAAAGAAATGGAATCAATATTTCAGCTATATCGAGTAAGTCTCATTTTCTTTCAACAGGCAGTTGCAGTCCTTTAAATTTCTCACATCTACAATCTACTATTTTGTTTGACAGTGTTAGTGATGAAAAATTAGTTAACTAAATTAATCCAGTTCTCATTATAATAATTGTTGTCAGCAATTTGCTAATGTAAAATAGAGGTACAACCATTACTATACATGAAGTGCTTTGGTTCTGGCTGAAAGGTTTTTCTGGCACTGAATAGAGCGGATAGTTTGGCTGCCATACAACTATACACTTCCCCTTAACATCATTCAATAGTTCTAATTAATAAATTCTAACCATTAAGCCATGCGAACACATCTTACAAAAGAAAAATAATTTTATTGTTACATGAACTATAGATATCTAAACATAGTATACATCACAACAGTAACAAGTGAAATAACAGGTTTTATGGCATTGAATGCCATTCACATTAGGAATATATATAAGTATCTTAAAAAAGCTGATTCAAACTCTTAATTTATGTTCTACAAGTACTACATTTAAAATTACAATTCCAAAAATATTTAAAAAACATGATTAGCAATAAATTGCTAAATGTATAGTTTTATCATTTTGTATTTTTTGTTAATCATTCTAGCGTTTCTAAAATTTTCATGAATCGCTTCCAAGCCACTATTTGTCTGCTGGTTTACTCTCAGGTCTTTCTTCATAATACAAATGTCTAAAAAGTGCATAACCAACACCAAATGTAAGAGCAGCAACCACAGTGCCCTGGGCAGCAACACGGAGTTGCATCAAGTAGACAGAGGTTGACATACTACCACGATTTTTGTAACGATAGGCTCCATAAAGACAAGCAAGTCCACACCCCAGTAGGCCTAGAAGTTAAAAAAATTCCAAAGATTATAAAGCAAAGTTTTTTAATGTGAAGCTCATTCCAGGTCAAATTATTAAAATAAATAAAGGATCAAAGCTTAGAAACCTGAATTTGTTATAAACACATTTAATAATTCTTTAACATTATTTTCTCCATTCAATTTAATTAACATTTTTAATTACTATAAGGGTCATAAGTGAAAATAAAATAAAATATTGAATTTACAAAAAGTAAAAAAAAAAACAACAACAGAAATTCCAGATATTATTTATTAAAACTCAGTTTTTAAAATATTTAAATGTTATGTACATATATAATACATTCTGTACAGATTTATGTTGCTAAGTTAACATTCTTAACTAAGCCATAGTGAACTGATGATCTCTTGTGGATACATAAAAAACAATCACGTAAATAATGGTTGGAGAGGGCTTGAATGGGTAATGAAGAAAAATGTTAATATAAGTTTAACATAACAGCAAATTTACAACGTTTGGACAAGCTTTTGTCATCATCAGGTACAATCACGTAAATGTTTCCACTTTCCATAATGTGAATCAATTCATTCTTCCAAAATCAGTGTATTGTTTCTAGAAGCTATATATCAACCTTCATTTAAAAAAATTACATTAAAAGAAATGAAGTATGCCCCCCAAAATCAAAATTAAAGGGCTACAGCACATCAATTGGATATCTTTTCTTGGATAATGACAAGATAATTATATAACTGTGTCGATGCAGTTAAAATTATAACAAACTGTTGTTTAAAAAGAAAAATTTGACCATCCTCTTAACTATATTGTATGGGCATTGCTAAAAATATATTTAGTATTACAAACTGTGGCGACCAACCGTTTTTAGTAAACACTATTTCAAGAGCTAGATTCATCTACAGCACATAGCTACTCCCATTTTGAAAACAATCACATTCTTTATCAGATTAAACCAAGTTATGCCTATATGCTCAAAAGTAAAAGTTATAAACAGTGCCCTTCAGCTTAATTTTTCATAGCAAACCATGCATCTTTTAAAAAAAGAAAGAAAAACTCTTAAAATTTATTGACTAAAAAAGCATTTTTCCTATCTTGCAAATGATGAAAACCCATTGAATTTGTGAAAGGCTGAACCCAAATCAGTTTTCTTCATTTACCCGCTACTTCAAAACTTATTTTTCTAGAGTAACAGGCTATGTAATGTACATTACCAATTGTTTGATAATGATGTATACAAACTTCCACAATATAAGTGAATACACAAATCTACCAATGCACACTATTTTTTGCATACATGAAAGGCCATTTTCAGTCACATTACCTGAGGAAATGTGCTATTTTTTTTAAAAAATGTGTTGAGCAGTGTAGTAATAAATCTTTAAGTTGTTGAGATTGCTTTTGAAGCAGACAGAAAATGACAACCAAAGGCAACAGAACTGAATTGGAAATGTTGCAAGATTATGGGAAATCTGAGAATTCTGTGCTGTTTGGTTTGTATAAACACCTGCTCAAGACAAGCAACGCTGATTCACACCATTATATATAACTGAAACCAGTTAATATTTTAAATCTACAACTTCCAAGCATAAAAGTCTATTAGAGTTTTATCGGAGGATTTGTCAGATAACATGAATGTAATAGTCACAATGTCAGTTTTTTTGACTATCTTCCTAACAAAATAGCCAATGATTCTGTGGTGTGGATGGAAGGTGTTAATGGTTCCAGGAGATATGACCATCTTCACTGCAATGGCTTTTTTGGGGCCAAAACAATCTGTGGGGCAACATTCTATATATTATTCAAAATGTTGCACTGCTAATCTGTATATATAAACAGATAAATAGCTCAATGACTATCAATTACAGTTATTGCTAATAGGCAATTTAGTTCAGCACTATTAAACAATAAAGAATTTATAATAATTTAATGCATCTACTTTTGCTTCAGGTCAGTCATCCATAATCATAAACGGATAAAACTTGTGGTAATAGCACCCAAAAAGTGTTGGGGATATCCCATTTATCAAGCAAAATCCAAAATGCTGAAGTTAAGTAAGTTGACCATCATGGAAAATCAAAACAAGGATGAAGAGGTGAGTGCTTAAACCCACAATGTCTCACCTCCTACTGCCTTTTGCAGTCTGCAGCCAGATGTAGGAAGGCAGTTATCCTTAAAGTTATTTAAGTTCTAAAACTAGAAACAGAACCACCAAAATAACAAAGTTATTAACAGAAAGAGAAGAATATAATATTTTAAAAGAAAAAATCCTTTATCCCTATGGACTAAATCAGGAAGTTCCAATATAAAAATGCTGAACATTAATTATAAATATTTGTATAAAAACATTATTTCAAATTCATATCTGTAATTTTAAGCATAATGAATGTAGGGATAAAAGTAAAAGTAATAGTAAATGGATTGATTTTGAAAAGTTTTGTAAAAACCTATACACTGCTTTTGAGAAAATTATAATTTAATAAAATTCGTAACTAAACAGTAATTTGAAATAAAGAATATGAAAATGAGATGTTTTTGAAGTATGTATTAAATTTTGATTTTAATAACATTCATATAAAAAATTTGATTCTTGATCTAACAAAATTTAAATGTAATCAAGTTCAGAATAACCTTTCTGAAATCAAAAAAGAGAAATTGTATTTTGCAATAGATTTTAAAGATAAAATATATGATGATTTATCTTTACCGTATCTTATTCATAAAAGTGTTCAAGAAAATATTTTTCCTTTAAAGTCATTACAACCTACAGTCAGTTTTAAATATAACAAACATATTGGACCTCTTCTTTTTAATTATAAAAAATTCATTTAAGAATTTAATCCTTTATAAATAGATAATTTACTTTGTATTTGTTATAACAATGAATTTAAGGACACTTTTTATAATCATATAGTAACAGGTAATTTAGAAGTAATATAAGATAATGAATTAAGATTAATTTTAAAAAATGGTACTAAATTTCGATTTTAAAAAAGACAAATAAATATGAAATCTTAAAATATTTATTAAATAATATTGATAACTATATCATCAAATTAAGTAAAAAAACATTTCCACAATGTTTCTTTTTTGAGTGGAAACTGTATATTATTAATTGCATTAAAACTCAATTAAGAACTTTAAATTTATCTAGATATGAAATAGATTTGTCCTTTGATGTTTTTAAAAACAAAATAAAAAGTTCAAGACAATTTTATTATTACACCTATTGATAAAGCTGGATGTAATTTTGGCTGTATATGTAAAAAATTATACACTCAAATTTTAATTAATGAAATCAATACCTCAAGTACTTCTACAAAAACTACTTTAAATAAAGATACAAATTGCTACAATTTATCATTTTTATATGCTATCCATAAACTGCAT